GCCCCCCCTGGCCAGAGAGAGCCCCCGGCGATAGCCCTGTCGTACAGCGTTAACGCCGCGGCTTCTCTCTCGGCGTCTCAGTTTTGGGGGCGGTGAGGGGAGGTGGAACCCGGCGGTGCCCCGCCACTGGCCCTGCAGCCCATGCTCTAGGACACAGACCCGATTAAGGCAAAAAGACTCAGCTTTCAAAAAAGGGGGATGGCAAGAAGGTCCAGCAATGGAACCCCATGAGACCGGCGACGGTAAAGGTGACTCTCCCTGCATGTTGTGAGGAAGGGAGACAAGACGGTGGAGTTGTCGATTCCAAACAAATTAACACGCTGCCTGATTGTTGATTGTAAGAATTTGTGGTTAATGTGAATTTTAAACTCTTAACAAATCTACAACTGGATTCGGGGCTGGGGGGGGGGGGGGAGGGGATAGAATGATGCTTAAATTGTTGTACCCGACTCGGTCAATAAAGCAGCACAAGTTCATAATCTTAATCACTGGTCAGTAAACAGTAATTAAAATGTATGCCAAAACAACTTTTTGAAGAAACGCACAGTATAAAAAAAAAAAAAGACATTTGTATCTTTATAAAGATTGTCAACAGCTGTTAGGGTTGCAGAATCAGTTCTAGTCATTTTTAGTTGCTTTTGGACTATTACCAAATTAACTCCTTGGGCTTAAATTTTCCGTAATGGTACTCTGCCCTTAAGGAGACAGCCTGATCCAGAGTTTTGGCAGTTTGACAAGGGAGAGGATGTAGAAAGCTTTTCCTTCCTTTTCTTTTTTTTTTTTTTTCCCTTTAATTTAAGAAGTATTAGTACTTTAGCTCTGTGCACTTTGAATTGGAAAGGGCATTGTACACGTCTTGCCGGATTTATCCGAGTTAGGAGCAGATTGCCAGGGTTTACAGACTCCAGTAGTTGGGGTGCTCGTTTCAGAAAGTCTTTTTGAGGTCCCTTTGTATGACATCTGCTGACCAGAGCTTCGTCTGAGACAGGAACAAAACAGAATTTATACGCGGTAAGGCTGTGCTCAGGCCTGACCTGAATGGCCTTTGTAATGGTAGTAGGAACATGGAGGTGAAGAATGAATTACTGGTACCTCTTCTTCCACAAACTAAGGTGACTTTGCGTGTGTTCTGTCAACTGTTATGGAACAAGGTGTCTTTCTTTGCCCTAAGGGGACAAGGATCAATGTCCGATGTTGTGTACAGCAGTGAAATGGTATTTGGTTCTCCACCAGACACTTGCAAGAAATAAAGCCCCTTATTAGTCTGTCAAAGCGCTCTAGAAATGCCTAAGTCGATCTTAATTTTCATGGACGTAGTTGTCTTTAATTAAACTTTTTTCCCTGTGGCTTCTCGCCTTCAGTTTCTGACTAAATATTTGAAGATCTCCTTGCCTCATTTGCTGAACTAGTTGGAAGGTGCGTATAAAAACCAGTGTACAGCAATGGAGACATCTATTCTGGGAGAAGTGGGTGTTGTATCTGTCTTAGCTGAAGTCTGGCTGCTTCTTGTATGACTTCAAGTAATTAACTCGGGATGTGGGAGCAGATCCTAATCAGACTTTTGTTTAAATGTCTGGTTTTATAAAGCTAAAATACGAGGAGATGTTGATGGTTCTGTTTAGTCTGTGGTGTCCATGTCAGCACTGGTTTCACAGCTGTACAGTGTCACATCTGGGAAGGTACAATTCTTTTTTTTTTTTTTTTTTTTGGGAGGGGGGGTGTCTGTATTCCCCGTGTATAATGTGAAGATCCAGGTTATCTCCCGGCAGCAAGGAGCAGATGAAGTCAGTCCCATTGGAGACTCCATTAAAAACACAACTGTTGAGGAAAGTTCTGGATTTCATGCCTTAAAGATGTACTCTGTATGGATTTAATCTTTGGTCTTAGGGAAGACTTATGGAAAAAAAAAAATAATTAAGGTCTGTAATGCCCTAATTATGACCATTCTTGATTTTGAGATTTCTGTTTGAGTTTCATTCTTTGTTGTTTAGAATGATACATGAATCTAAAGCTAGTGCAGCGATGTGCTTCTGTTCAATTTGTACATTTGAATTGGTTTGAGTGTCCTTTGCATGCAGGAATAGTTAAGTAGTGATACATTAAAAAGAACAACTAGGAAATGCTCTCTTGGAACCTGGTTATTTATGCAGCACTTTAGCTGTCTTAAAGGGGAACAGGCTGTGACTCCTGTCGATGGATGACACGATCTCTTTGGCTGTTGGATTTCCTTTTCCTGCAGGATTCCTTTCCCAGAAGCAATCTCCTCTGACGTGAGGGAGAAGCACTTTGAAACAGGTGCCCAAGAACTCATAGCCAGCTTCCACCAGAAGGATTTCTTGGCAGGCTTCTCATTTGCAGTTTTCAGATAGGACAGGAAGAGCAGGAGGGGGCTGGCGGCAGGAGCTCGGTGGCATCTCCTTGGAAATTTTAAAATTGCCTCTTAAAGTGCAAAAGCTACATGAAGTCATCTTCATCAACTGCTACAGTCTGTAGCTCTCCCAAACAAATGATAGTTGTGATGAAGATTCACCTATTTGGACTGGTTAACTAAAACTTACCGCTCTACAAGCATCTGGAATAATGATAGTATTTATGGAAAATAAACCTTGAGGTAGAAGAACAGCAGAGTGGGTAGTGTAGATTTTGCAGGGGAAAGTTGATGGGAGCCAAGTGTGCTTCCAGACCAGCACCAGCCCCTGAACCCCAGAGCTGTGAGCAGCTGGAATGTGCTGCTGCAATCACAGGCAAAGCCCTGATGTACAACCAGCAGACCGGGGGTAGTACGAGGAGGAGCTGGAGCTCGGCCAATGGCGCAAAGAACGTGATACACAAGAATTTGGTGGCAAAACTTTGGAATCTAGACTACAAGAATGTAATTGCAATTCCAGTTTTTTTTAATGACTGCAAGCTGTTAAGTGGCATTTGTGTTTCTGTAACTCTCACGTGCTAGATGTGAAAATACAGACTAGGAACTGAAGTTAATCGTAATTATTGTATTTCCTAGCAAAAGAGAGGCTCAAGCCCATGTGCTAAAATGGTTATTGGCTTGATGGAACGGGTCCAGAGGAGGACCACAAGGATCATCAGGGGGATGGAGCACCTCTGCTACGAGGACAGGCTGAGGGAGCTGGGGTTGTTCAGCCTGGAGAAGAGGAGGCTCTGGGGAGACCTAATAGCAGCCTTCCAGTACCTGAAGGGGCCTACAGGAAGGCTGGGGAGAACCTGTTTAGAAAGGCCTGTAGTGACAGGACGAGGGGCAATGGCTTCAAGCTGGAGGGGAGCAGATTTAGACTGGAGATTAGGAGAGGGTTCTTCACTGTGAGGGTGGTGGAGCACTGGAACAGGTTGCCCAGGGAGGTGGTTGAGGCCCCATCCCTGGAGATATTCAAGGTGAGGCTCGATGAGGCCCTGGGCAACCTGGTCTAGTTGGGGGTGTCCCTGCTGACTGCGGGGAGGTCGGACTAGATGACCTTTGGAGGTCCCTTCCGGCCTGGACAATTCTATGATTCTCTGATTCTATGATTAAAATTGCTTTCCCATAGAAGTAGCTACAGAACCACTTTTTCCTGCAGCTTCCAGTACCTGTTAAGTAGGTCTGCCTGTTCCTCAAGCGAGGCTCGGAAGGCGCTGCCTCTTCCAGAAGTGGGGCAGTGGGCTCTGAGGCCTCAAAAGGGGGCTTTCAGAAGGGCTGGCCCGTGTGACAGCAGGGGAAGCTGCACTAGAAGGTGGTCGCTGTGAGAATCGCTGCTGGTGACCCGTAGCCCTGGTCTCGGGGTTAGCTCACAGCAGGCTGCACGGCTCAGCAGAGGGGCTGTGACTGACGGAGGCAGACGAGGCAGGTACAGGCGTTGAGTTAACTTGGTCTCTGAAAAACTGAGTGGAAATGAAAGCAGAGTCAACACACCGGCTACTGTGGAAACCCCGTCTTCAGGTATTCCCCACGGTATCATTGGCGCTGGATTTTCACTCTGTCAGATACTAATCAAAAAGAAAGACTTCAGTAATTTGCTTCTAGATTAGTTGATTAAAGTTGGCTTGTGCTACTCGGAACTCCACCAGAACTTGACATCATCAAAGCATTTCATATTCTCAGGTGCCTTTTTCCATGATAAGAGAGGGACTTTCCCTATATCTAGGTTTTCTAGGTGTTGTCTTGTTCCATGTACCACCAGTCTGCACAGTGTCATGCTATTTACTGTACAGTAACAAGTGTAAACATGAAGTATTGCAGTGCAATTGTACACGTGCTGTACTCTGGGGGGTAGGATACTTCACGTGGTGTCCGTGTAAAGGAACTGAAAGGCCCATCATGCCTCAATCTGCAGTAACTTCTTTATGTGCCCACTTGTTTCAAGTTTTATGGGTTGTTTCCTCAAGACCTGGCTACAGGTCAGTGTCACTGTTTCAGAAGCACAGATGGGAAGAAGGGCAGGGTAGTAGTAGCTGAGCGTGCGGTGTGAGCATCGCTTTCTTCTCTGGGCAAAATCCCAGGTGAATTAGGAATCTTGCTGGAGTGCACACACGTGATGGTACTTGATATATCGCTGGTCAGATGCAGTGTTCTTTGCTGCAGGACTCTGCTCACCCCATAGCTGTGTAAAAAGTGACATATACATTAAAAATGTAAGACCTGGCTACAGGTCAGTGTCACTGTTTCAGAAGCACAGATGGGAAGAAGGGCAGTGTAGCAGTAGCTGAGCGCGCGGTGTGAGCATCGCTTTCTTCTCTGGGCAAAATCCCAGTTGAATTAGGAATCTTGCTGGAGTGCACACACGTGATGGTACTTGATATATCGCTGGTCAGATGCAGTGTTCTTTGCTGCAGGACTCTGCTCACCCCATAGCTGTGTAAAAAGTGACATATACATTAAAAATAACAGCTTTGCCTACTCTACCTGAAGTGAAAGAGACTGGATTAAACCCTGTTAACAGACCCTGCTATTGCTATGAACTTACAGAGCAGCAATACACACCTTCCAGATGCATAAAAGAAGATAATCATGGGGGTTTTTTTAAGTTTTATTTAAAAAAGGCTTTCTAAAAGACAAAAGGAGATGCCCAAGGCCTTTTCATTCGTTCCCTTTAAAAGAAGTCCTTCGGAGTGTTTGATGGTGGGTGATGTGCCATAGTTGTGTGTGAGGTGCAGCTGGGCTGTGTCCCTCCCAGCACCGCGTGGCTGCTGCCCACGTCGACCCAAATGAAGGAGCGCAGCAACTGCACCCCAGAGAGCCTTCTCTTCCAGGAGATGGGATGAGCGTGCCTAGGACTTCCAGGTATAAGCATAATCCTTCATTTCCAGGAAGCGGATGGAAGATTTTCCCAGTGTTGGGCGCTGACTCAGTTGATCCAAGGTCTTAGGATGCAGCCCACACGCAGCGAGATCTTTGCATACGGTTTCCTGCAGAAATTCAACATGAGAGACATAGAATAGGTGTTTCTGTTTGAAATACCTGTAGTTCTTAAGGTCCATTTGTGGACCTCTGGGGTACAGCTCTGTATACCTCTGGGGAACTCCTGAAAAGCTAGTTTTCCAATTGATTCCCAGGAGGATAGGGAAACCCTACAGAGGGACCTAGATAGATTGGATCATATTGGGCCAATATCAATGGTGAGGTTCAACGAGGCCAAGTGCCAGGTCCTGCACTTGGGCCACAATAACCCCATGCAGCGCTACAGGCTGGGGGAAGTGTGGCTGGAGCTGCCTGGCAGAAAAGGACCTGGGGGTTCTAATCGACAAGTGGCTGAATATGAGCCGGCAGTGTGCCCAGGTGGCCAAGAAAGCCAACGGCATCCTGGCTTGTATTAGAAATAGTGTGACCAGCAGAAGTAGGGAGGTGATTGTCCCCCTGTATTCAGCACTGGTGAGGCCGCACCTGGAGTATTGTGTCCAGTTCTGGGCACCTCAATACAAGAGAGATCTCGAGGTGCTGGAGCGAGGGCAGAGGAGGGCAACAAAACTAGTGGAGGGCCTGGAAGACAAATCATATGAGGAACAGCTGAGGGAGCTGGGGCTGTTTAGTTTGAGGAAGAGGAGGCTGAGGGGAGACCTCATCACTCTCTACAACTACTTGAAAGGACACTGTAGAGAGGTTGGGGCTGGTCTCTTCTCACAGGTAATTAGTGACAGAACGAGAGGGAACGGCTTCAAGCTCCAACAGGGTAGGTTTAGATTGAATATTAGGAAGGAATTTTTCACAGAAAGAGTGGTCAGGCATTGGAATAGGCTGCCCAGGGAGGGGGTTGAGTCACCATCCCTGGATGTGTTTAAGGGACGTTTAGATGCGGTGTTGGGGGATATGGTGTAGGGGAGGACTTTGTAGAGTAGGGTAGATGGTTGGACTCGATGATCCCAAGGGTCTCTTCCAACCTAGACAATTCTATGATTGTATAATTGCTGAGGGAATGAGAAGCCCCAGGGAGTGCCAGGTGGTGATCACAAATTAACTGAGTGTATTAAGGGATTGTGTCACTCAGTGTCCTGTGGTTTGCAATAAAGATACCATTCCTAAGAGGCAAGACCGCCTCTGCTAGTCTCCTTACCTCACTGAGGGCAGGCCTTGCAGCGTCGAGATGAGCGTTGAAGACAGCAGTTGGCTCGTGTGTGTAGAGCACGGCGGAGAAGGCTCCCCTCTGTGCGGCCTGGAGCAGCATGGTCAGGGCGTGCAGGGAATGGGGCAGGACGGGGCCCGCGATCTCCAAACTGAAGACATCCTCGTACGCCGAGTGAACCCTGGCCTTGGCGTTTATACTTCGGGCCTGAAGGCGAGACCACAGAGGATTAGTTTTTGGCAACAAAATCAGGTCCTGATTTTCATTTACTTCAATACTGGAGCACCATGGTCCTGTTAAAAGTTCATAATGCTTTTCAGTATTGTCAACTTACTGTTCTGTACACGAGCATTATGATTGTTTTACTGTCTTTGTAACAACTCCTAAGAGGTACCAACGGCGAGACGCAGGAACGCTATGTAGTACTAAGAAAGTGAACTGGTCTCAGGAACACTATGTAGTACTAAGAAAGTGAGCTGCAGAAGAACAGTACCATCTCCTCCTCTGGTTGAAGACAACTGCACAACCTGTATTAACAGCACAGCCTTTAGCACCCACCACCTCCTTACATTAGCAGATGGTGAACCGTGGTTCCAAGGCTGCCTTGCTGCAAGCAGCTGTGGTAGTTTGAGACCCTGTAAAACCTCTGGAGAATCTTTTAGGAACCATTTCTGCCTCTGGGAAGTCTGCTTAAGCTCTTATTTATCAGGATGTGAAGAATGGAAACACTGAGATTTCAGTTTAGCAGCACAGCTCTATGTGGATAGAGATGATTATAGGAGGCAGTCTGTACGACAGTCAAAATTGCTCTAGCAACAAAAACTACCCGGCGGTACCCGAGGGAAACTAGGCAAAGTCAGTGTCTAATTTACTGGGTGAAGAAACTACTTCCTTTTCTTAGAAAACAGAGTCGGTCGCGTTACTTACTTTGAGTGTCTGCATTGTTCCACCTCGGAAAGCAACAGGGGACAGCAGAGTTGGTGGGAGCCCTGCTTGTGGACCTGCAGCAGCCACGAGGCTCTTGCAGTTGATGAGGAAGTTCAGCAAGGTGAACGTGTTTGTTCCTTTCACTAATGCCAGGGATTCGGGCCTGTGATCCACCTGCACCTCGTGCTTCTCCTTACGACTGCATTGACTGGAGTCAAAGGAAAACCGTGAGGGAGTGAAAAGCATCAGTGTGCCAAAGGAAGAATCAGAGCAGTGCAAACTCCAGGAGAAACCCCTCCATCCCCTTCTGACCGAGTCATTTAAATAAACAAAACCAAAAAACCCATCAAGTTTTACACTGATTCGGATTTGTCATTCAAATATTAAGCAGTATCTTAAACCAGACTTCTGATTTCATTATTAAAAACCTCAGGTGCTCCAAGTGCAACTGGAACCAGAGGAAGACGGAGGAAATCAGTCCCTCTGAAACACAGACAGGTTGTCCACAATCAGCTGTTCTTTTCTCCAGCTGTGTCCCTACTATGCCACACTCTGCCAAGTGTAAACCTCACCTGAGTGAACATACACCCTTGTCTTCCAAAAAATAGTAATGAAAAAGATCTCAGTCTTTCCTGTAAACCCCTATGCAAGGTGGCAATCAGTTTGTGACCTAACAGATCTTACAAAGCTACATAAACAATTCACAGTGGCTTTTCCTTCAAGAAGAAAAGCATCTAGAAATACTCGTCATAAAGAGACTCAAAAAAGACGTGCACACTGTCTGAATGTGCAGTGATGTGAGGATTAATAGTTGAAAAGAAGTTCTCAAAAGCTTTGATAAAACTTAAAACTATACCACAAAAAGATAACATCTGCATGGTTCTCTGCCGTGCAAAGAAAGGATACAGTTTAATAGAAATAGTATCTGGTTTCTTAACCTTGTCTTGGACTCCCATCTCCTCAAGCCAAGAGAAACCTTCATCATCATCATCGCTTGGAGCTGGTTCCCTGGGAAACACAGAGTCAGTGTTAGGAGGGCAATACTTCCAGTGAAGTTTTTCCAAATGGGACGTGCAGGAATCTGCAGACACCCCTGAATTCTAGCATTGTACAAGGCTTATTACATACTCTCCATCTTCCAGGCTGTTGCCCTCTTTGAGGCTGTTGGCAACTTCAGTTTCCGAATTCACTTCAGAGTTTTTCTGTTTCCTGGTTCTACTTTCTTCTACCAAAGGTAAAGAAAACTCTATGCCTTGAACAGAGGAGGAAAGGAAGCAATGAATGGTTTTGTAACACGGCTAATGCATTTCATCGGTCATTCAAATCCAAGCTGGACTGTTTTCACTTTACCTTCACTTCTCATGGCTTCCCTTAAACCTCTCGTTGTGGGAGAAACTACAGCTGTGATAACGTCACTTCCTGCAAGACCAGCTGCACGGAACAGGACGGTGAACTGGTAGGTACATACATAGAAGTAGGGACACAGTTTGGCTTTGAGCAGATTGTACAGAGAAGTAAAGCTGACAGACCTGCAGATGAAGAATAAAACAACTCTGTAACCAAAGTTAATTCTTTGCTATTGACACATCAAATTGGACGTGGCTGGGAGTTAGGGATGGGTGCTCTGCACAAGTTTGGGAGCATCCTGAATGATCAGCCAGGTTTTCAGACGTGCTCAACATCTAGGAAGCTGCACTCCTCTGTAATTCAGCCTGTTGGTGAGTACTATGCTCTTCCAGCACACTTGCTTTCTAGCACATGGGTTTACATGAAGCATCAAAGGCAACCTGCTAACAGGATTTATGGAATTCTACCTAAATCAACAATTAGGATTGGAGAGGCACTTTTAACACAAGAAGGTAGCTTTAGTCTTATATTTCTTTAACCCGGTCCTCAAAATAATAAGCATTCTAGCAGAAAGAAAAAATTAAAAAAAAAAAAAAAAAAAAAAAATTTTTCCAAAAAAAAAAAAGAAGAAAGAAAAAATGGGTTTAATATTTTTCCTAGAACTTTTTTTTTTTTTTTTTTTTTTTTTTTTTTTTTTTTTTTTTTTTTTTTAAAAAAAAAAAAAAAAAAAAAAAAAAAGCTTTCTCATAAAACCAGCAAGAACTTGCACATTAACTCAAATCCTATTGTCTTAATCTTACTAAATACATTAGCTGTTTGGTTCCACTCACCAGTCACTCATGAGCACTTGTTGCAAGGCTTCATCCTGTGACCAAGGAGTAGCCTTTCCAACTATTTTTCTGTCTGCTCCAATCCGAGGGAAGAGCTGCAGCCACGGCAGTGAAGGGTGAAGCCAGTAGACCAGGCTTTGCTGGAAGGCACAACGCAGTTCTGTCGACAGCTTTGGTTCCTAGATGTCAAAAAGCATTTTATGAGGACAGGAATGCTTTACTGAAGGCAGCATTGCAAGTGATGGATTAAGAAAGATACTACATTAGATACTAAAAAAAATAATCCTGTGTAAGGATTATATGAATAAGGCAGACTGAATATGTGAATAAGGCAGACTGAAAAAAGATGGACAGCAACTGCCAACTGCCCCACAGCTGAAGTTAAATCACCACTTACTTATCACTGTTTACCACTATAGATACAAACCATGGATGGGATTAAAATAGTAGTCTAAATGAGGCTTATTCTTAATGCAAGACCAAACCAAAACAGAATCCAAGCCTTCACTGCCAGCATATTTAAGGAAAGGTGCAAAGGTATGTTCTCCTCTCTAAAGCTGGAGCTTAGTGTTACCTGTATGTGCTCTGGCAAGTTTGTTTCTGTAGCTCTACAATGCTGAGCGAATCCTTGAGCTTCCTCTTGTGCTTTTAAGTGTTCTGCCCAGGTAAAAGGTTGGGAAGACATAAATAGAAGTCGTGTTTTAAGACTCCAGTCTGCAGGAAATTCGTGTCTTGGTGAGGAGGGAACTTCAGGTACAGCAACAGGTAAATGAAGGTCCTTACAAATCAGAAATAGCACCAGTTAACCCACAGAAAATTAAAAAAAAAAAACAAACCCTACGTAGCTACCTATTTATATTTTAGCATGGTTAGGGCTCCTCCCATGTCCACATAATATAACTTTCTTGTCAGGCAAGCAGATACTGGACTATAGCTATTAGATGTAACATCTTGAGTTTAGTAGCCTATAAAAAGACAAGTTGAACCTGTTGTCTCCTGCATTTTTTTGTCCAATTCAGTGCAACAGCAAAAATGCCTCGCTCATTTTGATCCTAAGGAAGTACTTGCATTAAGTTAAGAGACATACTTAAAAAAAGCTGTTGCAGACAGATTTTCTGGATTCCAAGTTACACCAAATTTGACTGTTCATAGGCTAGCCAAAGCCAGAGTTTATACTCAACTGTCTATTTTTAGCCAGTAACAAATTCTAATAGAAATACAGTATTATACTGTTTATAAAAAAGCAGAAGAGGGTTTTCATTCACAGGAATGTTTCCAGAGGTCATAAAGTAGGAACAGATAAAAGGATGAATGAGTCAAAAAAAGAAAACTTAGCCTGAAGTTTAAGACAGACAGTCTGCATTCTTTGAGAGGTCACTTTTCCGTTCTACGAAGTTAGTCTGAACTTAAGTTTCTGAACCTGTAACACTAGACACTATCTGCTTGAAACTCTCTTTCAAGGACTGGCTTTCAGGTATTCTCCCTTTCTTAGTTGCCCGGTGAAGTCGCATTTATTCCCTTTCTGCAGCTGAGTAAAAGAGTGCAGAGGATGTATCACTTTGAAGAACATCCCTATCTCAAAAAAACATAAACCTAAAAAACAGGAGAATTACAGTCAACATAGTAATAAAACTGGAAGACAACCACCTCTGTCAACTAGAACAATGACAGCAGTGATATCAGGGAGAAGGCTGGCTTTTAAAAGACTGTCACCATAGCAGTAAACTCCAGGGCAATTTAAGAAATTTTCTTGAACACTGACATTTTAGTACATGATCTTAGACAGAAATAGACCATCAAATACTAAGTTAAACGGCTTCAGCCTTTTTTTTTTGTGTGAACTGAGAACAGCTGGAAACATTTCAGAAGCAGCATGCACAGCTTCGTACATCGGTCAGGGCGAGGACGTTGGTCCTGTCAGAGGGCTCTGCTCTCCTGGTGGGCTTATCTTCACAAACGGACTCTAAAAGCTGAACCAAAAAAGGAGTGTAAGGCGCAGAACAGAATAAGAATCAGATTAATAAATTAGAAAATTTAAAAAATGCCCATTACAATTAAGTTTTAAGTGATCTAAGCATGTATACGCTGCAAGCATCCACTCTTTGGTACGACCAAAAGGCGTCTATATATATATATACATGAGGTGCAATAGTTTGTTTTTAATCCATACACAAAGCTAGGGCCAGGCCAGGCCCAGGGACTGGCTTCCTCAGGGGGAGCGGGCTCCCGCGCCCAGCTGCGGGCGATGGCTGCCGGGGCCCGGCCCCCCCCTCTGCCGACGGGGCCCTTCCCCTTCCTCCCCTCGCCCCACCGGACCCCCTCCCGGCCGCCGCGGGGCCGGGGCTCGGCCCTACCTGCCAGAAGGGCGCTGCCGAGAGGGACCCGCCCG